GGAGAGAGGGGTCAGTTAGGTTAGGGACTAAGTCTTTTTCTTATGTAGCCCAGGAAGGCTTCAAACTCAATACCCTTTTCCACCAACTTCCTGAGCGCTGCTCTACCTAGCTGGAGAAACTGACTCTGACCAGAGAAGGTACGAGTCCAGAGTGACTGGTCACAGAACGGAGAGGGGCACACTTCAGATTCAAGTATGGGAACCTTTCACCTGCTTGTCTTGTCCCATCTCACATGTGAGGCTGGCCCCAGGAAGAGGGGTGGTGCAGAAGGCCACAGAGCCAGATGCAGGTGGGACCAATCACAACTGTTCAACACCTGGCCTCCAACGGACACGAGAGGTCTCTGTGCTCCCCATGGAGGAAAGGTGTCCTCACTCCTGTGTCTCCTACATGGATCATAGGAATGAGCAAGCCTAAGGAGGCGAGAACCATGTGACCTTGAAATTGGATGTCACCTCTGCTTTCTTCATGCATATAATGAGACCCATAATAGAAGCTGTTATATATGGTGATCTTCAGTTCCCCTACAAATGAGAGGATTTAAATTATTTGGGCAATGTCAGAGATCAAACCCAGGACCCAAGGACTTAAAGTTGAAATGAAATAATATAAAATCTCTCAGCACAGTACTGAGCACACAGTACGTGCCATTGAGGTCACTGCCGCCTCCCAAGATCAGCCTGCAGGTGCATGGGTAGGTTTTATCAAGCAAGCAGCTTCCTCACAGTAGATCAAGGCCATGACATGCCCCAGGTTGTCTTTGAAAGGGGCCTGGGTATTAATCATAATATCCCCTGCTCGGCTCCCACTGCCTCAGCCAGTGCTGCAGGGTGAGACAACAGTAATCAAACGTGCATCATTCTCTGGGCACCAGCACTTTCCCACCCAGCTATCTCAGTGGGTTTTATCATTTCCAACACCAGGAAAGAGGCTCAGAAAGGTGAGGTGATTTGCGGAGCATTGGACAGCTCAACTGTGTTACCTCAGTTTGGCTTGACTCCAAAGATAGTGTGTTCCCTCCCTCCCTCCTGCCCTCCCTCCCTGTTTTACCCCTTCCCTCCCTCCTTCCTTCTCTCTTTCTCTTTTTTTCCTCTCTCTCTCTGTGAGCACATGTATGTGTGCACACCTATGCATGTTTTCAAGTGTAGGTTGATTTTGGATTCCCTCCTCAGTCACTCTCCTTATTTTTTGAGACAGGGTCTCTTTGGAGATCAACAGTTTGGCTGGACTGGTTGTCCGGGGAGCCTCCTGTTTCTGTTGCTCCAACACTGAGATTGCAAATATTTATCATGGAGCAGGGGTTTATGTGGGCTCTATGAGGGTCCAGACTTGAGTCCTCCTGCTTGCGTGGCAAGCACTTTCCTCACAGCCACGTGTTCATCCCCAGGACGGTTCTCTTTCACACCACAGCCTGACTCTCTCTCAGGCAATACTTCCTCCTCTGATCACACTAAGTGTGTTCCCACAGCTGTAGTGGGGACTCCCAGCTCTCTTTGGAAGCCCTCAAAGAGCCAACTCCTTTGGGTTCTGTGGGATGACTAGGGGAGCCATGGCAGGGCCTTTCACCCTGTCTCTCCTCTTGACCTCTTTAAAAATAGATGTATAGATGTTCTGACTCTTTTTTTTTATTATTAAAGAAAAAATACTGTAATCTACTATGTATCTCTGCTCAGTCCCAAACCTGCTTATTAAAAAAATCCCCTTCTGGGAAGCAGGAGCATAAATGGTAGATTCCCTGTGGAATGATCCCTGCCATGACATTCTGAACTGGAAAATACAATTAGATTCCTGTTCCTAATTCTACCCTCAGTGTCTCTTGGCCCAGCATTAATAAGGAAGATGGAAGACGGTCTCATCCACAGCTCTGAGCTACATCTCCCTGCAGCCCCTCATTTTTTAGCCTTTGATTAGATTTTTAATCTTCTCTGCCCTTGAACTTCTCCTGCGTGCTCCACCTTCCTCCCCTAGCCTGGAGGGTGGGGACAAAAGTCGCAGCCACCTAGTGACTTCTCTGAGCAGAACATTATGCTGTGGCTGAAGAGGCCCTGAGCCTGTGACTAGACATTCTCATATCTTCTAGGCCCTGAACTGTACCCAGCCACTGCCCTGCCCCTCTGTTCAAGGACTGTAGGGACCTCTGCTCCAGAGGTCTCCTCTCCGTCCAGGCAGAGCCCACACTAAAGCTGCTGCTGCCCTGGGGTTGAATGTACAGAACTGAGAGGAAAGCCACAGACTGAGTCAGAGGACTTGAAGAAGAGTCCTGGCTTTGCTGGGGCATGACCTGAAGTCCCTTAAAACCCCAGCACTGTTTCTTCCAGGAGGGAATGCCGAGATTCTAATGGAAATAGTACAGAGCTGGGAGGCAACAGTACCCAGCCGAGTACTAAGTGCAGAGTAGATGTGTAACACATCCGAGCCACGATTTCCCCAGGCTCCATAATAGCTGGAGTAGAGAGAGAAACGGGGCTCGGTTTATAAACAAAAAAGACATCAAGGTAGATGTCAAGAAAACTTTTGCCTCCAGATACTATGGACAGCCTTCTGCTCTATCTTTTAAACCCACATGCTGTGTAAATCCTGTTAGAGTAGCCTCATGGCCATCAGTTAACAGAACGAGGGGCAGGAGGGCTTGATTCTGTTACATCACTCACTGATGCTGAATACTATGTACAGAGGAAAGAAACACAGCATCTCCCAACCACATGCCATCAAATACCAGCATCCTGTGGACTGCTGGACTGGCATCTTTGTGAGGCCTATGAGAGACTATTCAGAAAACCACAGGCACCTCAGAAGGTCCATGCTAAGGTGTACTGTGAGTTGCCACAAGGGGTAAGAAGATAAAGGTTTATCTTCTATTTGTCTATTTGCTTTTTGCCACAGAGCTCTTGGTACATAATCATTTGCAACAAAGCCATGCTGTCCAAGGGAGCTTGAAGCAGGGCCACGCTGTTCTATCTCAGCACTTGCCAGTTTGGTGGCCACTGGCTACATGTGGCTATTGAACACCTGAAATGAGGCTAGTGAGGCTGAAGGAGTAACTTTTTATTTTTAATATAATTTTATTTTATTGTTCTTGTTTTGTTTTTTGATAGAGTCTTACTCTGTAGCCTACGAAGGCTTCTTCTATAGCAATCCTGGTGCCTCAGCCTCTCAATCACGGAGGCTACTACATATGTGCACCACCACACCCACCTCTGAAATCTTAGTTTTGCTTAATTCAGATTTTAAATTTAAATAGTCATAAGCACCTTGGGACTATCTCATGGGTGACCTTAGATCCAGAGAGACCCAGTTTGACAAATACAGGGAGGGGTATTATTGACAGGTCGTTCCAGGAAACCTGGGTTTAAACCTCAACTGTACCACTTATTAGTTAGCTATGGGACTCTAGGCAAGGGGAGCTGGTTTCTGGAGCTTTGCTTCCCCTTTGGTGCTGAGGGAGTTTGATGTTTGTTTTTGGTGAATTTCTTCACCAAAGCCTGAGGACTCTAACACACCCCATCCCCTACAAACTCACCTTCTTGCCATAACTGCTTCAGTACCCATGCTGACTGGCAGGGGGAGGACCTGGTATGTTCTTGCACATGACCCACGTTTGGTCTTCCACAGGAGCTGTTTGCTGAAGCTCCCTGGAACGAGCGCCCTCTCTCCAGGTCCAAGGTCTCCAGGACCTTGAGTCTAATTCAAACTCTCCAACCCTTGCAACGTTTTCATCTACTCAGACTAGTTGTTCCCTAATGGTGTGACCAGCATTACAATGACAATTCTGAGGATGTTCCTCAGGGAAGAGACCTTCAAGGTGCCCTCGGTGAACACGGGACCCAGGTCTATACTAATCCCAAACGGCCACCTGTGGGTCTGGGCTTCCTTCCTCAGCCTCCTGCCATCTCCTATCCACACCCATTCTTAGTGGAACCAACTCCTCCCCACACACAGAACAAGTCTGCTCTCCTTCCTCTTCCACTGGCCTGCATCTCTCTCGGAAGTGGAGGCAGCCAAGCCCTCCATACCCTGTGTGGTTGTAATGATTAGATGTAGATAAAGCACACAGGGCCAGAGCTCGGTGACTTTGTTTCCCAGCTAGCCCCGAGTTAACAGTCATGAATACTGGTGGGTAAATACCATAATACACACATGGGACTGACAGTGTGACAGTCTGCTGCCATGGGTGGTTCTGACCTGTCATGCAGTTTTGCTTTTGCATATTACTTGCGTTTGAGCACAGAGGGAGGCCTTGCTCAGAGAAATGCTAAGAAGGTGAACACAGGGCTTGTGGTAGAAGAGAGCCCACATCCCTGAGCACAACCCGTGGTGACCTGCAGGGTCACAACAAGCTGCACGGCCCACCTGTACAGGTGGCATGCTAGGTTCAAGCACTGGCAACCAGGACACAACGGTGGCCAGCATCTGACTAACAAAGAGTGAGGACACATGGATGCTACCTGGAATATGTGGACACATAGGTTTGCTGGCTCAAATTAGCTAAATCTCATAAACACTGAATTTATGTCTTAAGTTGTTTGAGAGACACAGAAAATGCATCTCCAAACCCGTGTTTGCAGAAAGAAAAAAGAAAACGCTTTATCAGGAACTGACCTTGGACCTTGTTCCATCAGCAAAACCTGCTCTCTGGGGGAAGATACTCTTCAGCTCATCGAGTACAAACACATTCAATTTTGTACTCCTGCCCCCCCCCTCTTTGTATCTTAACAATGAGGCTGAAAATGTGGGAATTGAGTTTGCGGATACAAAAAGACTTGGCAGTTGTCCAGTCTCCCTGCAACCTAGTTCCATGCCCAGGTAGAACAGGCAAAGGGTGATCATGGGGCACTGCTTCTCTTTTACATGTAGGGGGTGCCCTTGCTTTTTGTCAGACCAGGATCCTAGGAGCACTCCCCAACACTTCCTTGCTTGTTATGAGCCCAGGGGCCCACAGCCTGGTGGAGGTGGAGAAAGCCAGCCTGTGTGGGCATGGAGCTATCTTGGGAATACGTACATTCTGCTTTGGCACAGATGAGGCAGGCGGTGGTACAGTTGAAGAAGTTCAGGATCCCAGCCACAGCTACGCTGATGTCGGTGTTGCTGGGGTGAAGGTTCAGGGTGGTGAATCTCTGAAGCTGGAACCTGACAAACTCCTCTGGGGCCACTTTGAAATGAGGGACCTGGCAAGAGGAGCCAAAAAAGGGCAGCAAGGAGGATTCAGAGTGAGTGAGAGAGGGAAAGTAGGACGGGTGACCCAGGCTATGGCTGAGCACGCCTCCTTTTAATTAACACCTTTGACACACACCAAAGGAAAAGAAGCATGCAGGACCTAGGCTCCAAGTTCATGGGAGCAGGATGTGGTAACATCTTTGGAAAGATCCAAAACAAGTCACTGTTTAAATAGAGACCTCTTTAATATTGTGGTGTGAGAGTCCAATCATTCTTAAAGGCACGGTTCTTGCAATATATTATTGTTAATAATGTTGTTAATAAATTGGAGCAGACATGGCAAGAAAAGACAAACAGTTCCCTATAGGCTAGAGAAGAGGCTGTTAGCCCAATTCTACATAACCGGTATATACTAGTTTCCAACAAGCTTTCTGGGTGAATCCCAGGGGCAAGGGCAGATAGGAATGAACCTGAGGAGCATTCAGAAGCTTTGGATGGCACCAGATGCCAAAGCAACTGCCCTGGATTCATCAGAGCAATGTTGGCTTCTACCACATGTACCAGTGGTGTTTCTAGAAGAGGCTGTCTTCCCTCTCTTTGCTGGGAAAGACATATTAAGAGGTAACAATGGTGGCTTTATTGACAGCTTAGGCTATTTTGTAGGTAATAGGAAAGTTAAGTCGTAATAAGCTGCCATCCACCTTGATTTTATTCAGACACTCTCATCCCTGGTACTCGAAGCTGGGAAAGCTGAAACTGAGCATGAGTTTGTACTGATGCAAAAGCAAGTGAGATTGAAAGTAAGCAGCAGGAAGAATTTCCTGATGATGAGGTGCTTGGCTTCTAGAATGGATTAGTCAGACACGATTACAGAAGTTTTCTCTGCCTGGCTTTGCTCAGAGACTGTGCTACAGGGGTCTGCGATAATGCTGTGATGGTCTCTGTAGGATTCTACCATCTTATCCTTTCATGATTTAGGGAGAAGCCTGACAGAAACCAGAGCTCTTGGAAGTTGAGATAGGAGGAGAGCCAAGATCTAGGAAAATCCAAAGAGAAAATTACTGAATTCAACTAAGTTTAACATCCCCCCCCCAAACCATGGGCAGAGCATAGCCATAGTTTTGTTTTTGTTTTTCCACCAGGGATTGCATGGTGCAGAATTGACCTGGAGAGTTTGAAGGATGGCTCTGGAGATGAGAGCTAACCTAGTACATTTCACGGGGATCTTTTCTCCTGCTTGCATTTTGTATCCCACACAATTGACCTAAAAATGAGTAACACACACACACACACACACACACACACACACACACACACACACACACACACACACACAACTTGAAGGCAAGAGAGGTGACAAATGAGCCGGATGAAGGGCAAAGCTGGGTATAAGCCAGGTGGCCTGGCTGACTCAGATCCAGACATTGGTGTCTGTGACTTGACTCCTCCCTGGGTGACAGTCAACCCACTGGGTTCCACCTGCAGGTAGCCAAAAGAGCTCTGCCCATTAGTTCCCTCATGGTGAGGAGCCCTTGGAGGCTTGTGATGATATCACAACTTCCTGCCCTGGGTTCAGGGAGGGGTCCTTCAGGAAGGAGAAGGATACATGGGTTTTGGATTCTACAGACTGATGTCTGTTTAGGTTCTACTGTGTGGTTCAGGGGCAAACCACTTAATCTGGCTCAGCTTCATCCAAACAGAGCTGACCTCGGGTGCTTCTGTGAGTCCAAGAAGAAGGAATGGGATTCTGTGTCCAAAGAACAAAACAGCCTGGACAATGTCTGGCCTCTTCCCTCCCCTTCTCTCTTCTCCAATTGCAGAAGTTCCCAGAAGCCCTTTTAGCTGCACAAAGGAGAGGGTGGAAGAGGGGTCTCCTCAGGTCAAGTAGTGAATCACCAGCAGGGACCTTCTGGGAGGCTGCTAGGGAAGCAGCCAGCTGCTCTGTGGCCTGGGCAGGGGTAGCTAGGCCTTACCCTTCTGGTTTGTTCTCTCTTGGAGAAAAATCAATCTGATTTGTGATTGCAAATTCATCCCAAAAAGTCACCACAGTGGATCTGAGGGGAGAGCAAGAGCCAGGAAGTAGCCAGCCATGGGGTCTCAGAAATATTAGCAGCACTTAAAGGGCCGGAACCCACAGCAAGGACTCTATGGCTTTTCCCTGGAGACAGGCCTCATAAAATATTAACCAAAATGCATAATCTGAGTGGCAGGCAAGGTTGCTCTGGAAGGAATATGAGCAGACAAAGGAAGGGAATCGCCTGACTGCTCTCTGGGCAGTGCCACCTGGTTGGACTATGGGGGATGCTGCAAATCAGTGGCTCCCATGACCTCTGTCCTGAAAGGCTACACAGTGTGGAGGGACTTGCAAGCCAATGTAAAAACAGCCCCAGCTCCAAGACAGGGCTATCCTGGAGTGGGACTGGGGGAGGACAGCAAAAGGCAGTGAAGGAAGTATGGTGGGAACGAGGGAGGGAGAGAAGGAACAGGAAAGAAGTTGGAGAAAGAACAGAGGAGCTCAAACACTGGCAACCTGGCTGGGTGAAGATCAGCACCTAGGCTTAAGTTACAACCTGCCTTGTAACCCACCTGACTGTGAGCTGAAGCACAGCGAGAAGGCTTTAAGTTAAACATCAACTCCTGGCTGAGCCTGTGAAATGCTGCCGGATTATGGCAGGACAGAAGTGGTTTTGTGGTCTGAGCTGACCCAAGAAGCATCTTCCATGTTAACTGAGAGGGAGAAAGAAGGTTCTGGGGGTTTGGGAGGAGCAATTCCAGCCCTGGACAGGTGTGGCTGTGGCCATAGGACAGAGCCTACCCACATAGCCCCAGTCGAAGCATCAAGAGGTCAGTTCCAAGAAATGTGGGTAGGTAGAAGCCTGTCTGTGACCCCCCCCCCACTTTGTTAGGGTGGCTGCTGTGGGGATGTTGGACCTTCTCTGGAAGGGCACATGACTATTTCCCCAGAGCCAGATGTCCCTACTACAAAAGCTGCTGGAAAGCCATGCCTCAGGTCTCTAGTGCAGGTGGGAGATGGTGCTGCCTTCCCACACTCCTCTCTGAGACTGAGCTTAATCTAATCCCTACAAACTAGTCCAGAAAGCATTTGGGACACAGAGAGGCTAGGGGTGTGGTGGGGTTTTCTTGCCCATTGTCTTCTGGGGATATATTCACAGGAGAAAGGCCTGTAGCTTCTAGAAAGGCCCACAATAATGCCTATAATAGGCAGAGCCTCTAAAGTCCAAGTTGCTAGGAAACCTGTCTTCCATCATGCTTTTCTCCCATGAACTGTAGCCTGAGGGAATGGCCTCCACGCTCTGGGCCCAGAGAGATGCCAGATAGAGGCCACACCTATGAACCAACATCACACTTGGCAGAGAAAAGCAGGAACTAGTGAATAGAGAAAACAAAATATATCTTTTCTTATGCACTCAGAAAGCAGAGGCTTTTTAATTTTATTCTCATAATAAAATGGAGCAGTGGCTTCTTTCCCCCCAAGGCATTCTTTCCCAGAATCCCAAGGAACAGAGCACCAATAAGCTGCCTCAGACCTCTGGCCCCTTAGCCTCATGCCAAACCTCCAGCCACCATCTCTCTGCATTAACAGAGAGGCCACTGAAGGCACTGCCATGCCATGGACCCTAAGACACAGAACTTAGGTTGGAAGTCCTGTGGGAACCATCCCTTCATCTCTTCATCACTTGGAAATAGAAAGTGTTCCATTAATGGTCACGCTCTCTCACATTTGCATTGATGGTGTTATTAATAGCATGGCTTCCTTGGTCCCTTCCTGCACTCAAGGATCCAGCCAACAGGCTGGACCATCCCCAAGGCAGATCCACACTCACCTCCTTCTCTCCACAGATGTTGCTGATGATAGAGCTGGAGGCTGGGCTTGACGATGGTCCCAGGACAGCAACCACTCCCTTGGGGAGGATCTGACACACTGTAGCCAGGGGAGGACATGATTGGGAAAGAAAACATGGTATTCAGACTCTGTCCTGCCTAAGCCCTTAGATCATACCTAATGCCCTCACCTCTGCCCACACCCCATCCAGGCCCCTTTCTGCCCCTTTCAAACTCCAGTTTCTCCTGCTCTCCCTGGTCTGCTAGGCTCTCAGACAATTTTATTGGTGTTTATGGACAGTATTAAATGAGGAAATGACCCAGGTTATGACAACATACTGCCTCAGCCAACAGGGGGTATAAATTGCCTGGGCCATCATCGAAGGACAGAGTTAATGGGGAACCCAAGGTGCCCCCCACACTTCCTCTCTGGTCTGCTGAGGGTTGGGGGGGATGCGGTTGCTGTAAGAGGTCTGTGTCTGGGTGGTACCAGAGTGCCCAGCCTTCAATCTCTTAACCCCTCAGATACAAAGACAGTTGAGGAGGAAAAAAAACAGACAGGCAGGGGGCAGAGGTGGCCAAGAGATGCCAGCAGAGAGGGAAAAGGCAGACAGTGGAAGTCAAAGGAGGCAGATGAGAGAGAGAAGAGAAAACAGAGGCAGAGGGAGTGTTTCCTGTCAGGGACACTCTCTTTGTCCCAGAGCTGGCTCACTCCTGTGCTGCCTGAGGACTTGGATCTTGCTTTTCTTCAACTGGGAAGACACCGTTCACTCCTGGACTCTGACACTCATCTTTCGTGGGTTACTCAGACACCTTCCCTCAGACCTTGGTTCCCACATTCCTACTTTGCACCTCTCCTCTTAGATACCTTGTCTAACTTGGTGTGGCATAGAGGTCTCTTCTCCTATCACTAGATTTTCCCAAGTTCCTAATGAATGCGAATGCATAAAGATGTGTGTGTGTGTGTGTGTGTGTGTGTGTGTGTGTGTGTGTAATATGGAGGTCAGAAGTCACTATTGGGTGTCTTCCTCTGTTGCTCTCCACCTTACTTTCTATGACAGGGTTTCTTCTTGAACCTGCATCTTACTGATTTGGCTAGTTCGGGTGGCTGGGCAGTGAGCACCAAGGATCCACCTATCTTTGCCCCAGGACTGATGTTGCAGGTGCACATCTCTATATCCTGCTTTTATGTGGGTGCTGGGCATTCAAACTCAGGGCCTCATGCTTGTGCTGCGAACACTTTGCCTGCTGACCCATCTTCCTAGACTGAGTCCCTCACTAGACTGCAAACCCCTCCCGAAGGCCACCTTTCTAGACACTTGATGTCTAGCACAATGTTTTCTAGACAGAGTCCCAGATTACATTCATGACTGAATGCTGACTGATGGGGCATGTGGTCAGAAGAGGAAGAGAGAATTAAGGTTACAGAATGCAGCAGACTAGGGAAAGGAGGATAGGAGGGAAGGAGGAAACAGAAAGAGTCTGAGCTCATTCTCTGCACACATCAGTGATGTCAAAACCCAGACGCCCTCCTCAGGCTGCATACAGAGACTTCCCACTGCACAATTTGACACTGGATCCCAAACTGAAAACCCAGGTCCAAACACATTTCCCTTTTATTCTTGACAGAACTCATTTCCCAGAAACTTCATGTGAGGGAAGCTTACATGCTGGTCTAAGGAGAAAGCCATCAAGCCACACCTGAAACCTGACGCTCCTTCCTATGGAAAGGATCCTAGCCATCAGCCAAAACAGCCCTGGGATTAACTCCAGAGTTCAAATCACAGAGTTGTGGATGTGCCGTATGAACTTTAGATCTGCTGTACTCTCTCTCTACCTGTGGCCTCCAGAATCTCAGAACTGCACAAGACTCAACAGTACTGAGTGTACCCATCCCCAGGGGCACAGAGCCTAGTGGCCAGGCCTGACCTAGGAAGAGGCTCAGCAGAACACAGGCCTTCCCATGCCTGACTGTGCAGCTGCCCCTGCCAGTTGGTTGCTTTCTACATCATCCCAGCATGACAGTATGCAATAGCCTCCCTTCTGAGATGGTGACACACTTTAGGTTGCACAGCCAGTTAAGGTCAGAGTCAGCTTTGGGCTTCAAGAACCTGGCCCCATTCTCTGTACAATCTGATTCTCTACAGCCAGGCCTTCCCCTGGCTTTTTCCTCCACAACAGTAATGCCTCCATGTTGATAGAGGGCTCTCTCTGAACCCACCTTGTTTTATTGCATCTATTGTTACCAAGGTCATCACCACCTGTCACCGGTTCTCACCCAACTCTCTTTCCCAACATCTGATCATGCTGTTCTTTGAGATTTCCTAACACTGTCTGGTGCTGCTTCTCATCTAGTTCTAAGAGTCTCTTCCTTGGCTAATGACTCTTCTTTGTCTGCTTAATCCAGGTTTTACCTATGCCTTCCTCTGTCTGAACAAACATAGCATTGCTGCTTTTGCCCAGATGACTCTACCAATTGCTATGTTGAGTACAAATTCAAGTTCTAAGCACCAACTCATCTTAGCCACGGTACCTGCTCTCTGGCACCTCTTATTCAACACAACAGAGTTGGATGGGTAAGAGCATGAACTATGTTACCTAACTGCCTATGTCTGAGAGGACCTCAGACTCCCTGTAGTTGGAATTATAGATGGTTGTGAGCCATCCAACATGCACGCCAGGAATCAAACTCAGGTCCTCTGCAAGAACAGTAAGGGCTCTCACCTGCTGAACCATCACCCCAAACCTCAAAATGTATTAATTTTTTTTAAGGTAGGGCTTTAGCATCTTTTTTCATTCATTCATTCATTTTTGTTATTTTACATATCAATCCCAGTTCTCTCTCCGTCCCTCCCTCTCTTCCACCCTCCCATGCCCCTACCACCACCCTCCAATCCCATCCCCCCCACTCCACAGGGAGGGTGATGCCTTCCTGGAGAGGTCATCTAAATCTGTCAAGTCATCTGGTGCAGTAGGAACTAGGCCCTCCCTCCTGCCTCTAGGTTAAGGGAGTATCCCTCCATGGGGAACATGCTCCCAAAGTCCTTTTGAGCACCAGGGATACAACCTGGTTCCACTGTCTGAAGTCCCTTAGACTGCCCAGGCCTTCTAACTGAGACCCATGTTCAGGGGGTCTGAGTCAGTCCAATGCTGGTTTCCCAGCTATCAGTCTGGGGACCTATTAGCTCCTCCTTATTCAGGTCAGCTGTCTATATGTGTTTCTGTAGCCTGGTCTTGTCCTCCCTCTCTGCATCTGGATTACAGTTCTGCTCAGTGTTTAGCTGTGGGTGTCTGCTTTTATTTCCAACAGCTACTAGATGAGGGCTCTATGATGGTGGATAAGTTAGTCATCAATCTCACAAAGTGATGGGTTTCATTATGGCATTTTCATACATATACATCATTATGCTTTGTTTTCTTTCCTGTACTCACACTGCGCTCCTTCCTCCATCCTCCTCTGTCAGTTCTTGCTGATTCCACTTTACAGATGAGGAAAGGGAGGGTTTGTGTGTATGTAACTTATTCAAGCTCACAAAGGTAATATATGGCTGAGCTGATCTTGAACTTAGGGGCCACTGATGCCAAAGTTCATGTTCTTAACCACTGTGATTCATTTCCCTTAGCTCCCGAAGGTCAAAAATCACAGTTACTCTTGATTCTTCCACACTTTGCCTTTAATTCTATTCACTCTGCCCATCTGATCTAACTTCCTAAGGGGTCTTTCTCCAGGACTTCCCATTTCCAATATTTTCTCCACACTATAATGTAAGTTATAATTATAAAACATTGATCTGTTGCTTTGGTCTCTCTCATGTAATCCTGGCATCCTCCAGCCCTTAAATAACACACCAAGGCTTCATAGCCTGGCCATACCACAGTTATCTTGTCTCTTCTCATGGAAAACTAGAAAAAAACCATCAGGGGATAGTTATAAAGAGTAGGTCATATGCCAAAATAGAATGGTATTTAGGCATTTAAAATGTATATGAACAGTTAATAATAGTATTAAAATTATTTATGTAATACTATTAAGAGAATTGAGTAGGCTATAAAATTATATATGCATCTACATGAAGCCTAAGCTAAGCAAATACAGGGCTAGTTATGCACTGAGGAATGGTCCAAGGAAGACATGATTAGTGCCAACATTTACCAGGAGATAATTATGGCCTTTTCAGAGTATGTCTTAGGAACGGATTTATGTAATTCTGAACCAACCTGATGAAACAGGTACATCTATTGCATCTTCACTTTACAGACACAAAAACAAGACAAGAAAATGAAGGAATAGAGTACAGATTGGACAGCTTGAGCAGTGGCCTGAGGACCAACTGCTAAAACACAGCCTTCCACAGAGAATGGCAATTAACTGGAATGTTAGATGACAGTGTGTTGGCCATGGGGATGTTCTGTGGTTTTCTTCTTCTTCTTCTTTTTCTTTTCCTTTGCTCTCTGTAATGAGCATGTATTCTCTTTATAATATATTGTAAGGAATGTGATAAAAAAAATCTCCTGATGACAAGTAAAATTTAAGAGGTCTGATCTGCCTGTCACCCTGCTTTCGTGGCCCTGCACCCCCGCCCCCTGCCTCCTCCCACGCTGTGCTTGTCTCCTGTCTTACTTCTCTCCCAGGCTCCTGAGCAGCCTTCTACCTAAAGCAGGTATTCCTAACTTACCCAGCTGCCTGTGTTCTACGGGATGGAGTTGGGAGTGTGAAAGTGTGTGTGTGTGTTTCATTTTTCTCTGTAAACCTACCTGAAATGTAACATTTCCTTTGCTTCTAATGCATATAATAAAGCACAGTATATTTGCAGTGCATGTGCCTTTGTCACAACAGAAATCAGTGCTGTTTTCATATCACATTACAAATGTCATTTATATTCATGACTAGTTCAACCTTGTTCTAGCAGTTAGACCCAATGCTGGGCTTGGCTATGAATACATTAATAAATCATAGATATTAATACGTCACTATTAAAATATTTTAGCTGCTTTTCTATATAATTGGTTTCCATGGTCAGCTACTTTATTCACTTCAAAACACTTCTCTAAGACAGGGTTCGTAACACTCCCAGCCTGCTGTGGTCTAGATTCTCTTTT